TGAAAGAGGCAGGAAAAGATTGTTCCCTAGAGACTTCAGAGGGAATGTGGCTTTGCTAACACCTTGATTTCAAACTCATGGACTCCAGAACTTTGAGAGAATAAATTCTCATTATTTTAAGCCATGCAGTTTGTGGTACTTTGCACAGCAGCCCCAGGAAACCAATACACTTCGCAGAGCACACAAGGGCCTTTGGGTCTCATCCTGTGCAGCTGTCTAGTTTGTCTCCTGTCACTGCTCCCTGTTCATTTATCTTTCTATCAAAAACATGTATGGAGCACCTGCTATGTGTCAAGCCACAGAGACACAGCCAAGAGTAAGCCACAGTGTCTGCCCTGCAGAAGCTCCTAGCCTCGGGGCAGAGGATGGCAGCTACATAGGCGATTGCTGGACGATGTACTCAGTGCTTTGGCGAGACTGGAGCTCTAGCCGGAGCACAGGCATTCTTGGGCCTCTTTGCATATGCTCCTGCATTGCAAGGAATGCCCTTCTCCACTTTAAGAATCCTCTTCTCTTTGTCTGATGGCTTCCTTGTCTGTCCAATTTTTGAACTTTGTTCCAGTGGACACATTTCTATTAGCACATCATCACACATCATTATAATTATTTATTCATTTGCCTCCCTCGCTAGACTAGGGCTATTTTGAGGGCATGGGCTGTGGTCTTTTATCTTATTCCTCCTTTTGTCTACAGAGCCTCGAAGAGTACCTGGCTCATGGTAGTTTCTCTGAAAGAATATGTTGAACTGACCAAAAGGAAGGAGAGTGGCCCCTTCCTCTGTGCCGGCAGAGGGGCTCTCCTCAATGGCCTGTTCACTCTGTGGTTCTGGGATGAGATGTGGGAGAGAGCACAGCCTGGGGTGGGGCGGAGGACAGAGCAGAACAGGGCAGTTTTCTGGGTGGGGAGTGGTGTGAGAGGCCCGGGGAGGAGGGTGTGGAGCTAAGTAGGCTTTAAATGCCAATCTCAGGCCGGCTCTGCAGGCTGCATGGTGGGAGTGGTTCATAGTCAAAGCTGGGGCACAGCTCTAACCTCGGCCCGTGAAAGGCTTTTGGCTTCAACATTGCTTCTCAAACTTGAGCAAACGTCAGAACCACCTGGAGGGCTTGTTCGGCTATACATTGCTGGGCCTACCCCCAGAGGTTCTGTTTAGTAGATCTGGGGCCTGAGAATTTGCATTCCTAACGAGATCCTAGGTTATCCAATAATGCCGATCTGGGACCAGCTTTGGGAACCATTGCACCAGAAGAATGCATGAATTTAGATGCATGGTTCTCAACTTTGAATACCTTAGACTCACTTGGGGAGTTTTTGAAAATACGGATGCCAGAACCTCACTCACTCATTGGTCTGGGGTTGTGACTGGACGTAGGATATGGGCTCCAACTGAGCAGAACATTGGTTTAAGGCTCATTTAGAGAATGTAGTAAACGGATGACTCCATCAAACTTCTACTGAACATTTGTATGTGCTAGGTACTGTGTTAGTAATGGGGATGCAAAGACGAACAAGACGCAGTCCTACCCCCAGGGAGCCATCAGTCCAGTGTGGGGCAGGTGTATCAACAGTTCTAAAGCCACATGGGAGAAGAGTGATGGTGTTACCCACAGAGTATAACGGAAGCACTAAGGAAGAGCATGTGATCCAGCTTGATGGGATGGGTGGAGGGAGATGGAGGGAGCTCAGGGATGGGGGTAAAGAGGAAATGATGAGGGGATGACCCACTTCAATAGTTTTAGAAGTCCCACTGGGTCAGCTTCTGGTTGGTATATGAGCCTTTATGGAGTCCAAGGCGTAGTGTGAAGAACTTGTACATGAGTCCAAACCCATGCTCCACCTCTTACTAGAGGAACAGCCTTGGACAAATTACCTAACCCCGTCTTGCTTCACTTGCCCCATATTTAAAAGGGGAATCATCATGGTGGCATCTCCCTCACAGAATCATTGTGAGAACTACATGATACAACATGTACGTGGTCTGCTGGGTAGAATGAAAGACTCAAACTTGATGGACCACAGCCCATGTCCTCAGAACAGCTCACAGGCTGCCAAGCACTTGAAAAACATCAGTTATTATCATCATCATTTCGGAGGGCCCCTTTTAAATCTCCAGGTATGCCCAGCATTACGGGCGGTTCTGGTTCTTGTCATTGTGTGGTAGAGCACACATGCCAGCATGCCCTAGGATGCCCCGGATTCCATCCCCTACAACAAGTGGCCCCAGGTCCCTACAGCTTCAGAGTTCCTGTGTCAGTTTTTCAGTTTGCACGTTCTTCCTTCTGTCTGTGTATTTGTCCTTGGCAGCCTTTTTTCCACCTCTTTAAAATGATTGCTTTTTATCTGCTATAGACAAGAAAGCCAAGATTGTCTAATTGTGTCTAAAATGTAAGCTAGACGTCGCATGGGAGACTTGTCTTCGAATAAAGAAGGTATCTTTGGTGCATGCTGTCCTGATACCAGAGCCCCTTTTTGTTTCCTCTTATACTCACGGTAATGTTCTGGAGGATTCACTTTCTGGGATCAAAGATTTCCTGATGGGAGAGGTGTGACTGCGTGGTCGAGGCTGGTTTCTGTGCAGGGTTCCCTATGATTGTTTGCTGTTTGGAATTACAGGTCAATGCACACTGTAGCTTCAAACCATACTCACTTGTATCCCAAACTCCCAGTCACATTTTTATCTGCCTCCAGAGCCTCCCTTCTCTTCTCAGGAATCTGGACCTACTCCCCACCTGTTGTGCAGCTCCCAGATGTTCCCGATCCGCCTTTACCTGAGCTCACCTGGTGTCCACCTGCTACACAACCCAAACTGGCTTCCATTTTAGACAATATTTATGTTGGCTCAATATTGGCACAAGCAAGTTGTAAACGTGGCATGTTCACAAACACTGTGGCAGATCGCTGAGCAGATGCTCCCACATTCACGAGTTGCTCTTCACTTACGGGCGCTCACAGTGACACCTGCTTTCATCAGCAGTGTGCTGATCTGTTCTCATAAGGACAGTGGTATGCTCCAGTTCAGCGTTTCTCAAACTCTGCTGCACATTAGCATCACCTGGGGAGCATTTACAACCCTCAATGCCCCGGCCAACCACCAGACCAATTAGTTCAGACTCTCTGGGGGTGGGACTCAGGCATCAGTGGTTTTTAGAACTCCCGAGGTGATTTACACGTGCAGCCAAGTTTGAGAACTTGTTCCCCAGTCCAGTGCTTCTCAGACTTGAATGCACAAGATTCACTTGAGGCTGTTGTTAAAATGCAGATCTGACTCAGTAGGTCTGGTGGGGCCCGGGATTCTGCATTGCTAGCTGGCACCCAGGCAGCGTGGGAGCTGCTTCTAGTCCAGGGTCCATGCTTTGAATAGCAAGGCGGTAGCCCTTTCTAGTGCCCGTTCGTTAGCCTTGAAAATAATTTTCCAGAAAGCATTGGTCCTCTTGAGTTGTGATTATTTCAATCAAGGCTCTGCTAAATCTCCCTCCTTTTCTATTAATCTGCCCGTACCCACCAGCCACACTCTTATAGCAAAGTCATCTCTCTATTTATCTCAATACCCTGTTTGCCTTTAGATGGTGATTCTCTTGAAAACAACTCATAGAATAGAATAGAAGAGTCATCTGACTAAACCTAAGCAGGTTTTTCTGTGGATCTTATTTTTCTGTCTATGCACAAACTCATTGAGCCCAAGGACATGTCCTCCAGGCTAAGCAAACTCTTTGAACACTGTGTGATTTAGCAAACAATAATAACTCAGTATTAGTTATTCCTGCTCTGAATAGGTTAGTCACAAACACTGTGCCTTCAGTTCAAAAAACTCATTAACGACGGCAAAAGGATTGGAAGAAAGCACAAAGGAAAAAAGCAATTTTCAGTTTTCAGAATTGGCTAGAATTGCATGTCACGGTACCTTGGAAAGTGTACTTTCTTGGCCAATATTCTATTGGCTTTAGAGCAATGTTTGTCAAACAGTTATCTGTGGACCTTGGTCTGTGGACATGTTCTTGGGGATGCAAAACTTTCCTAGTAAGCTTTTTAAATAGTGTGCTTAATGCTAATAACTTAAAAACTAATAAAAAGCATATTGGACCATCAGGATGACCAAGGGCTAGCACGTGATTTCAATGCCTGCATTTGTGTTTCTATTTATGATTGTATATACGCCAAATAGCTGTACTTTAATTCTTGCAGGCTAATGATAAAAGAACAGTGAACAGAGGGAGATTTGATATCAAAATTATGCATCTTAGCCAAGAGAAGTTCCAACTGTATTATAGAGAATCTTACAAACAAAAGTTTCTCGGTAATTTGGATAGACAAACGTGATAGGAGAATCTAAAAGTCACACATCACCTCATAGTTTAGATATGCTGCAACTCAAAAGAAACCACATTATCGCAATCAGGACCATTTTTACATTGAGTTCGGCCACTTAATCTCAGCAAACTAGCATGGTCGATTACACTAAATCAGTAACATACTTTTGCACATCATGACGTATTTGTAAATTTGTTTTGGTTGTGTAGCTGGTTTAAAACTGCAGACATTGTAGTTTTAAGTTTTTGCATATTCAAGTCATTTTCTAATGCAAATACTTTAAGTCATTACTGGGACCATTTTTTGTCCTTTAAAAAGGTTTTGCAATTACTTATTTCGAAGCACAGTCTTTGAACATATTCATTCTTTGCGCACATGTTAAATTCCATTAGTATTTTCTAAAATGTCATAGTGGCACATTTTAGCATCATGCCCTCTACTCTAGGGCTCTGTGAAGGGGATACTGTTGCAACTGTAAGCTGAGCTCCTAGGTTACATTTTCTCCTTAGCTGCAAATACTGTAACAAACATTTTCCAGCGAGACACTTCTCTGTTTGCAGATGATGCCTGATGATGACAATTTTCTGACTGGAGGATCGTGGAGGAGCCAACATGACAAGTCATTGGCAAGGAATGCTGGGCCCATGAGAAAGCCCGGCCGTACTTAGGATTTGGAGGGAAAATAAAGTGCTTACAGGCTGTTGGGCCTCTGGCTCTCCATGCCCTGATGGGTGGCTGAGAGGCTGCAAGACTGCCGAGGGTTGGGTGTCCCCTTTGGCCAACTGTTGACTGCCTTCTGAGAGGGAGTAAGACTGGCTCTGAGGATTCAAAAAAGAAATACGTAAAAATCCTAAACCGCTCACAAAATCCAGCAGCCCCAAGAGGTTGACTTTCAAGGGATAAAAATGTCTATCCCTAAACTCCTAATTCAGGGGCCCACCATCGTTCCCCAAACCCTCTGCATCTATCAGAACTATTTGAAAAGCAGGTTTCAGTTTCTCTGAAAGATACAATGAATGGAAGGCTCATAGTCTTGGCTAGTATGAAAATATTATTTACAGATGATTTTAAAAATAATGCCTCTCCAAAGAAGATATTTGTAGGTTTGCAGCCATCGGAGTATGAGTTTAGTTTAGAGCAAAGGAAAAAACCTTATAAGAAAAGCTATAGTTTAGAAAATTTTAAAGTTTTATTCTCTTCACACCTAGTGTACACACGAAGAATCATTCATGCTGTAGGAAACTGTAATAGGTGTAACAAAATCTTATTAAAATTCTTATTGCAACAGCTTTAGATATACATTTTTCAATGTAAAAAAATCAAGATTTAACTCTGAACTGCCTTGGGCATAGTTGATTCCAAATGGCAGTGTTTTAGGCATTAATAGTTCATGGAAACGCTATTCACACTAGGCATTTCAGAAGAAAAGTAAAATATTAAGTCCATTCCATGGATATTGCAAATATCTGGATGTTTGGTGCTGTTTAGAAATAATACCGGAATATTTTCTCCTTTCAATCCAAGTTATAAGGACTGGGAGAAGTATTTTTGCCTTGGTCTACTGTTATTTGCAACAAGAACCTATTTCCTACGCATTTGCAACAAGAACCTATTTCCTACGCGACTCTGATAGGCATAGTCAATGAAGTTTTGTGCAACTTTGCTACAACTAACGGCATTAGTCATACATTCCACAAATATATACTAACCACTGGCTTCCGGCAAGGCAGTGTTTACCACTTTGTTTTAAACACTTTAGCCCCTCCGGTGAGATTTTTGACTAATGGAGAAAAAGGATATTCTAAATGCATTTAAAAAGCATAGTATGCTGTTGTGAAAATCAACAACAAGGGGTAACCATAATGATAAAGTATAATAGTATCAATCATGATTTCATAGTTTAAATTTCTCCACGTGCTAACCAAAATTAAAACTCTGTTTCATGCCCAACGGCAATAAATACTTACGTGACGATTGCCCATTTTCGTTTTTTTCTGAGACAGTTGTGTGTTTCATTAAGAGATCAGTTCTCCTACAGGCTAAGTTTATAATGGTTTTTCCCAGGGCATAATAGCTCTTGAGTTTAATAAGTAACTTTTGGTATTGAATTTGAATACATTGTTGGGGATGGGTAGGGAGTGGCGTTAGCTATAAATGAGTTTCCTCTGCCCAAGTTGCCTTGGTAGGCCATCTTTTAAAAATAAAATATTTATTAATAAATCAAGCATAGGCTTTTAGAGATGAATGTCTTATTCACAACTAAAAGGTTGAAACTGCCTCACTTCTAGATTATTGAAAGAGTTATTTTTTTCCGGGGGCGGGGGGGAGGGTAGTGTTCATTTGAAATTTTTAACCTTAAAAAAAAGCATTACCCAAACAAGACTGAAAAATCTTACTATTTTATGAACATCACTATTATCATTACAGTGAGTCTTTTTGAAGGCTACATTGAGTTATGCTAACACTTTTATAATGTAACTAGTTTTTAAGTTAAAAAAATAATACGTGCAGATGTACATTTTTTTCCTGATAATATGAAAAGTTGCCATGAAAAGTGAGCCCTTCCCACCGGTGGTTTCTTCTAAATCCTTCCAGAAATGGTATGCATATATAGCCACATCTGCTATTTCTCTATTTCTCTCTCTCTGTCTATTTATCTCTCTTTGGTCTGTTTTTTTTCTTAAGAAATGGGTTTGTACAATGCTTTCTGTTCCATGACTCATATGCTTAATATTCTAAAGAGTTACGTGACATTGGCTCTTTGTGGCCAAGTTCTTTTTCAGTGGCCACATGGTAGTCTATTATAAATTTTCTTTTTCTTCTTCAGTGGCTACATGGTAGTCTATTATAGATATGAACCACACCTTATTTCATCAGTCCACTATTCCGGGTCATTTAAGTTGTCTTCGTCTTTTGCATGAATATTTTCGTTTAGGCATCTTTGCGTATGTGTGCATGTTTATCCATAGAATAAAATCTTAGAGTAGAATTGCTGGCCAGATTATGTGCATTTAAAATTCTGATAGATGTTGCCAACTTGTCCTCTGTACAGGCATAAAATTGCTGAGCCACTCTCAAAGACCAGCTGGCCCATGAGGCTGACTTTCAGAAGACAGGATGTGTACCTCCCTACAATAAAATGCCAGTGCTCATTCCCCACATACTGGCCAACACTAAACATTATGACAGTTTTCATTTCTGCCAATTTCGAAGATGGAAAATGGTCATCTTACCGTTTAACTTACATTCCTTTCTTTTCATAGTCTTAAAATTATATATCCTGTTCCTCAAAAGGCATTTGTGTGAATTTTTCTGTGATCTGCTCGTTTATGTCCTTTATTTTTATTTTGAGTTATTAGTCTTTTCATTATTTATATGTAACAACACTTTATTTATAATAAAATCTAGGCTTTTGTCAAGTATAATAATTATTTTTTCGGGATTTGTTATGTGTCCTCTGTCTCTGTTTATGTTTTGAGTATGTATGTGCGTGTGAAGAAAGTGTTTGTTTTTATGTATTCAAATATATCAATCTTGTTTTCTTCGGCTTGCTTAGAAAAAGTCTCTGCATTTAGAGGATTAAAACTTCTTGTACATCTTCTTCAAGTTCTTTTAGTGTGTTCATTCTTGAAGTCTTAGCGCTTTGCTCCATTTGGAATTGATTTTGATATGGAGTAAGGAAGGGATGAATTCACCTTTAGTTTTGGTTATTCAGTCGATCCTAAATAGTTATTAAATAATTCATCTTTTATCTTCTGGTCTAAGACAGTGTCTTTATTTTATGCTAAGTTCCCATACAACATAGTATTAAAATTCTGATAGGTCTGTTACATCCTGATTGTCCATATTCATTCTTTTCTTCTTTTAACCTTTATCTGTTGAGTGCCTTGGATGTGCTATTGCTGGAACTATAACAGTGAACCAGACGGATACGAATTTTCTCTTCCTAGAACTTACAGTCAACTGTCAGAGCTATACAAGAAACAAACAACTGGGGCCTGCCCCATGGCCGAGTGGTTTAAGTTCACGTGCTTCTGCTTTGGCGGCCCAGGCTTTCACAGGTTCGGATCCTGGGCGCGGACATGGCATTGCTCATTAGCCCACGCTGAGGCAGTGTCCCACATAGCACAACCAGAGGCACTCGCAACTAGAATATACAACTATGTGCTGGGGAGCTTTGAGGAGAAAGAAAAAAAAAAAGAAGAAGATTGGCAAAAGTTGTTAGCTCAGATGCCAATCTTTAGACGAAAAAAAAGGAAATTACAAATTGTTGTACCGGCTGTGAAGAAAATAAACAGGATGCTGTAACAGAGGCTAACCTGTGTGTGTGTGTGTAGGTACCTTAAATAGAGATGGGGCTCTTCAAGGAGCTAACATTTAAGCAGTGGACCAAAGGATGAGAAAAAAAAGAGAGAAGAGAAAGTGTTCCAGACCAGAAGGTCTTGTCTTGTGCTAAGACTCAGAAATAGGAAAGAGCTTTGCAAATTAGAGGAAATGAAAGACGGCCAGAGAGACTGGAGTTTCTTATGCACCAGGCAGGATGCCGGGTGCTGGCGATGCTGTGGCAAACCAGGCAAAACTCTTGGAATTGACAGTGGAATGGGGGGAGAAGACAAAAAATTATAAGTTAACAACCAATGCTTTGACCACTCACTATTTTTTTTGTCTTTGGTATCTAATTTAGTGTTCTATAGTCCACCGCCTCATTTTTCCAGCCCCAGGTTTCTCAGAGGCAAGTCCTCTCTGTGTCACCACTGTGTCACTCACCCCTCCTAGAATTCTTGCTCAGTGACATCTCGCACCCTCCCTTCCTCTCCCACCCCAGGCTGTTGAAGCTCAAAGTTCAGGAGGAACGGGGCAATTTGGTGTACAATGCTGACGTGGAGATAAGTTTTGCTCATGGGTGCTGAGTTCCTGAGCACAGGAAATGCATAAAGAAGAGATAGAGTTTATGGCTTCAGTGAGGGGAAAGATAGAAAGCTTAGAGGCCAAGTAAGAAGCTGACACACCTTTTGATTTTTCTAGGTCACTACTACTATAGCCACCACTTGATTATTTAAATTTGCCTGCAGTCGAGTTTGGATTTGACTGAAACAGAACTGTTCCGAGTGTCATCTCCTCATGTTCTCCTGCCCCAGTTGGATGGGTATGTAGGAAGGTGACCAGTAATTACAAGCAACAGGGGGGTAGGGGTGGGGCATGGGGAGGAAGGAGAATTCCTATGACCCCAGGCCATTTCTGGAGGCTGTCACGGCTGGAGGCCCAGAGTGGAGAAGAACTGCCTGGGAAAGAAGAATGAGAAGACCAGATGGGCGGAGAGAGGGCACGAGAAAAGTGATGGGAGGGGTTTGGATTTTTTTTTTTTCCTGTATCATTGTAAATATTTAGTGATTCTGAATTATTACAGGTGCTGCTGTACAATAAAGTAACATCTTCCTTTACTAGACCCGGCCTATTCATTTGCATCTCTTGGATTTTGGTGGTTCTCAAAGTGCTGATGCCAGCAAAGTTCTAGTTTCCTTTGAACCTTATGAGTTTCAATAACAGTCGTAAACCAGTATTGCCGAAGAGAGTCTTTCCTTCTGTACGGCTCACCAAAGTTAAGTTTCTAACACTTCTTAAAAATGGTACTTGTGCATCTGTCATGAGTTAAATTGTAACCTCTTCTCTCTGCCCTCCCCACCCCCAGCAAAAGATGCGTTGAGGTCTTAACCCTCAGGACCTGTGAATGTGAGTTTATTCGGAAATAGGGTCTTTGCAGATGTGACCAAGTTAAGATGAGGTCATTAAGGTGGGCCTGAACCCATTATAACTGGTGCTCTTATAAGAAGAGGAAGATGCCATGTGAAGACACAGACACACTGGAGAAGGCTGGGTGATGACAGAGGCAGAGATTAGGGTGATTTGGCTGCGAGCCAAGGAACATGAAGGACTGATGGCCACCACCAGAAACCAGGAAAGGGCAGGGAACGATCCTCCTCTGCAGATTTCAGAGGGAGAACAGTGCTGCCAGTGCCTTTATTTTGGACTTCCAGCCCTCAGAACTGCAAGACAATAAATTTCTGTTTTTCTAAGCCACCCGATTTGTGGTACTTCATTATAGCGGCCCTAGGAAACTAATGCAACAGCTAAAAAACCAAGAAACTACAGGCAACTGATCTTCGACAAAGGTACCAAGAACATGTAATGGAGAAAAGATGGTCTCTTCAATAAATGGTGTTGGGAAAACTGGATAGCTACCTGCAAAATAATGAAGGTAGACCACTATCTATACAAAAATAAACTCAAAATGCATCAAAGACTTGAAGATATGTCCTGAAACTATAAAACTTCTGGAAGATAATATAGGTAGTACACTCTTTGACACTGAACTAAAAAGGGTCTTTTCAAATACCATGTCCTCTCAGACAAGGGAAACAAAAGAAAAAATAAACAAGTGAGACTTCATCAGACTACAGAGCTTCTGCAAGGCAAAAGAAACTAGGATCAAAACGAAGAGACAACCCACCAAGTGGGAGAAGATATTTGCAAGTCACATATCTGACAAGGAGTTTATCTCCATAATATATAAGGAACTCACACAGCTGAACAATAAGAAAGCAAACAATCCGATCAAAAAGTGGGCAGAGGAGATAAACAGACATTTTTCCAAAGAAGATATACAGATGGCCAATAAACACATGAAAAGATGTTCAACATCACTAATCATCAGGAAAATGCAAATCAAAGCTACACTAAGATATCACCTTACGCCTCTTAAAATGGTTATAATCGCTAAGACTAAAAATAACAAATGTTGGAGAGGGTGTGGAGAGAAGGGAACCCTCATACACTACTGGTGGGAATGCAAACTGGGCAGCCACTGTGGAAAACAGTATGGAGATTCCTCAAAAAACTAAAAATAGAAATACCATATGACCCAGCTATCCCACTACTGGATATCTACCCAAACAACTTGAAATCAACAATCCAAAGTAACATATGTACCCCTATGTTCCTTGCAGCACTGTTCACAATAGCCAAGATGTGGAAACAGTCCAAGTGCCTGTCAACTGATGATTGAATAAAGA